CCAAACATAATTACAAAATTTCAACTAGTTTCATAAAGAATAATGAAAGATATAATTGACTGAATACATCAAAATGGATTTCTATTCGGACAACCCTTTCTGAGCGCTGATTGGCTAAAATACGAACACGAGATCACCTGGATTTAATATATCGTAAATCGGTATGTGGTTTTCGGTTTATTACTTCTCAGAGCCGTATCAACCGGGCACTGGAGGGGGGGGGGGGGCTACAACCCTCCTAATAATTTGCTAATAGTCATTCTTTTTTCAAAATCATGCAGACCTTTATAATTTATAAAATACTGACAATTGATTAATTATAAGTGGCTACATTATCCATGAGAAACAGCAAAGAATCATATTACCCATACTTTCCTGCAACTTCTCCAATATATAGTTAATTAAATACGCCTTCGCCCATTTAGTACTACTAAATTGTAGGCAAATTGTAAATTTCGACATACTAAAACGCTGTTTTCTGACCATCAGAATTCTGTCTAAACTTCCCCAAAGTCCAGGAAATGGCATTTCAGAGACTCTAAATTTAAAAATTTCTTCGGGCCTTCGGCCCCCCCAATCAAAACGAACTTTCTACAGGACTGCTGGCTACTTTAATATGTCTTTGCGTAAAATATGCGTATTTTTGTTTGTAAATCGCGTCTTCATTTTCCGGATAGCAAACACCTTCGTGGCTTCGTATGCCATGAAATATTCGGAAATTTTTTCGTCATTCGGAATATTGAACTTTATTCGACAGCTATTTATATTTTCATGCTTCTACAGTAATAGACCTTATTCATAAATCGTGACGAGGCCTCGTATCCTAGGATACGGGAACAAAACGCGGGAAAACAAGCGAAAACTGCTTGACAAGCCAAATTCAGATGCTATTGTGTCGACTTTAACGGCTTGTTTCTTGTTGCTTTTTACGATTTATAACGATTTTTGTGTGTATTTTAAGACTTTGTTCCCACAACGAAAGCGGAAAAGGAGTATATTATAAAAGCGACCGGTTTTTCTCGCGTTTTAGTGTGGAAAAAATGACAACGTAGCGATGGTGTTTATCCAGAAGTGGAAAACAGTATTTTACTGAGATTTTAACGTCAATATAAAGGTTATTCCGTGAAAAATCAAGACAGCTATGGAATGAAAGTATAATTTTTCGAATTTGACATTAATATAAAAGAAAACAATAGGTCAAAAATCACAAGAGAACGTCAAATGTTATTGATTCGTACGGGGGAATATGAACTATGGCTGTGGCTTGATAACATTCTGCAAGCAGCTTACAAGTTTAAAAAATGAAGGCTACATTACCTGAGTGAGTTGTAATCCTATTTCTTCAACAATAGTTTCATATTTCTTACGATTTTGGCGTTGTATAGACGTTTTGTAGCTTTGTTGGTTGTTTGTTTTGCCCATACAAACTACGACAATAATACAAAGTCAAAGGTTTCCGTTTTTGATTGACTCCAGCATCTTTTGCTTTAAATATCATGTTATATTTTCTCAGAAGTATTTTTTTCAACTTTCAAGCTCAGTTTTATAGCTATTATTTTCGAAAAAAGCCGTAATATTCAGGAAAAAAGCTGCCATAGCTGACTGCAAAAAAAACATTTTGTCAATTTTCTCGCGTTTTTTCCCGTTTCCTAGGATACGACGGTAATGGCGACAATCACATAGTCAGCGGTCCTTCTAACCGTGTCCACCATTGGATGCAAGCGACGGTACTAACACGAACAGACAAACAGACAGAATGACAGACAAGCGGCCGCGATAACATAGTCCGCGGTCACTCCCTATCGTGTCCACGTTCCACCAGCTCCACGTGTCACGAACGCGCGCATTGGACCTTGCATCAGAAGCCAGCATTTAGACAGGAAAAAATACAGATTAAATTTCATCATTTTCAAAACGCAATTACGATGCAACTGTTCTACCGATTTCTACACTTCTTGGTAACTTTAATCTTTTCATTACTGATCAGTTTTCGATATTATTTCAAGTTAACAAGACGAAAAATTCGAGGAGTATTTTACAGAACTTCGGAGTGTGACATTAAAAATGGGGTAGCGACCTTGAGAAGCCTACCGCGTCACCTGACATTTATTGTGATGGAGAAGGATGTTGACTTGTGTATTTTAGCAAGGCTGGTTGTCTGGTCTATTACGGCAGGGATATCGTATATTAGCATACAAACTAGTGAGGGTAAGGAAAGAATTGTGGTCCGAGACAATGGTCTATATATTCATTGAAGCGTGACGGTAGCATATATTGTATTTAATTATAGTACTCAATTATTTCTGAGAATGTGATTGGTCAAAACAGCTGTCAAACTTGTATATGTTATGGAATGTTTATATGGCAATACGCAAACAAAGCTTCAGGCGAAGTGAAATGAAACAGGCGTGTGTTTCAACCCTCTTGCCACAACTATCCTGTGATGCGATAGTTGACATGGCAGCGTCTCTATGTGCTCACACCGCAGCGTCTCTTTGTACTTTGATCCCCACAATTCAGCCAACCTGGTTTGTTATCCAAGTTGGCCGAATGGGTAGATTTCTTATGGGTGAATTTCCATCTGGGCTGCTGAAACCTTGCCTGTTTCAAGTGAGATCTTACAAGGCGAGATCTCACATACCAGGCTAACCTCATATAAGCAATCCCAAGCAGTCTATAAACGACATTGGTATTAAAACAAAGGCATGTTTAACCTTTCAATATTTCACAAGGCTCTCCCCTTGATGGGTAAAATTGTCTGGCATTAGACAGAATAAAACAAGGAAGTATGGCACATGTACATTGCAGCTAAATGGGTTAAACTCAACTTAATTTTGGTTACAGCAGATACAAAATGGTATCTGTACCAAATGTATATGTGTTAGGCTTGTGCTACAATTGGAGTGCATTTCTTCACAATGTAGGTGATTTGGACAAAAGGAAAACAGAGTTTTATGGTGAAGTATATCAAATCAGACAAGAGATGTCTACTTGTGACTATGAACTTCATTTCACAGATAAAGATTCGGCGGAACAGAATGGTGTTAATGGTGCAGGTATACAAGATATATATACAGTGTATGTCAAAAAATGTAGTTTTGTGACTGGTTGTTAGACATAATTCACTGGCAGATATTTAGTTTGTTTACCACTGAAGCTTTTAAGGGCTTCAGAAATCGTAAATTTCTCTAAGAATATTAGATCTTCAGGATATACATGTTCAACAAATGTAGTTTTGTGGCTAGCCTTTACGTATAATTCATTGGCAGATATTTTATTTAAGTGCTTCATAAATTACTCTAAGGATATTAGATTTTCAATGTTTAGTTATAAAAGCAAAACTCCCTCTTTCCCATGTACCATACTTGTGTGTTGCTAATCTTTTGCTGTTTTTTCTTCCAGCACACAAAAGTTTGAGAAAGGTTCATGTGAATATATTATCATATCATGAGGGTAAAGAGGATGTCACAAAAGCTGCTCAAACATTCTGTACAAAAGTGAAAAATAAAGAAGCTCAATCAAAAATTATGAATATAGAGCATCTGTCAAATTTACTAGAAGGTAACAATAATTGCCAAATCATTGTTGTTGAAGTAAGCGATACTGAAGAAGAAAAGCACCTGGAATTAGACAGAGTAGGGTATAATAGGGTGCATTGCCAGCGTGATGGATTGGCGGGATACATGGAAACAGAGACGGATCATATTTTTGTTTGGGGTGGTGGATAAATAGAGAGTTTGAGCAAGACAACGAAGTAAGAAGACGAAGGCATACTTGACAATTTTTGCCATCTGTACATTATCTTGCGCATACTGAGTTGGACGTCGCTGGTGGTTGCACAACTTGTCTTCCCATGTGTCGCTGTTTTTGAATACTGACCATAATTCTTGCCCTGATCCAGAAAAAAACAGCGAGACATGAAACTATATCCCGTCTTTGTCCTTCTGCCTTCGTGCAGAACGAAGTTCACAACAAATTTTGCCAAAATATTCGTTGTGAACAAAGGCAGAAGGCAGAAGACGGGATATGGATTCATGTCTCGCTGTTTTATCCTGATCAGGTTAAGGATTTGGGTCAGCATTCACAAACAGCTAGACATGAATCTCTAATCTGTCTTCACTCCTGACCCTAAACTCAGAATGCGCAAGGTAATGTGCAAGACAGGCAAAAATTGTCAACCACGTCGTCGTCGTCCGACTTCGTTGTCTTGCTCAAACTCTAATATCTGGGGGGTGCTGCTGCTTGCTTTGGCCAGGGCCTGGTGGCAATGCCCAGAAAGGCCAAGGAAGAAGTTTAACAAAATTTGTTTAACAAGATCTGAGACCATAATATTGGTAATTTTACAAATTTAGTAGTAAGAATAATCAAATATGAAACTATCATATCAAAATATATATAATTTGCAGGGGTGCAAAAACTTTTGGGGGCGGTGCCAGGCCTGCATGGAAAGATTGTCCGCTTAGCACTTTTCCCTAGACGAGTAAAATTGTCTGGTGTTAGGGTAGAATAACATATTAGAATGCATCAGGGTTCACTGCAGCTTAATAAGTTAATGTTTAACTTAAAAATAGGATATCTATATTAATTAATCTATAAATCATAAAATAATTTGTTTCATATTTCTCTGTTTAGTTAATAAAGATTTTCCAGACCCTGAATTAGCAATAACATTTGGCCCTGTAGATAGCATTTGTGCTTATCCTCCCTGGCAGATACGATTAACAGAATTCATGTAAGTACATGTTTTTGGCCAATTCAAGATGGCACAATGATTGGCACCTTTCATTTCTATGACGGAGGTTCAATTCCTTCATCATAACGAATATAGTACGTCACCTATGTCATGTGTGAGAAGAGTGCCTCCAGGAGACTCAAATCCTGCTCAACCTAAAAGGAACAGCCAATACTGGCCCTCTAGGAAGAACAGTTTAGAACTGATAGAGCTACAGTATCTAGTATAAATAAAGTTAGTTTAGTTTAGGTTTCCTCCTGTAGTAACACTGGATCAATAAGAGGTGATCCTTACTGGACCTCTAGGAAGAACAGTTTAGAATTGATGGAACTATGCAGTATAAATAAAGTTAGTTTAGTTTAGGTTTCCTCCTCTAGTAACACTGGATCAATAAGAGATGATCCTTACTGGACCTCTAGGAAGAACAGCTTAGAACTGATAGAACTATCCAGTGTAAGTTTAATCATAGGTTTAGTTTAGCCAAAACCCATACCATAAATGTAAGGATTAATTATGAAAAATTGCTTCCTTTTATCTCTCCATAGATCTATCCCTTCCCTTCAAGTGATGGACCACACGCTATTTCTACAGACATTACAGCAATACAATAAATGCGAGCAAAGACTAGGAAGATAGCATTGGCCAGTGGACAATATAATATCATTTTCTCAATTCATTCATATTTAACGCAAAGGATTTACGAACATTAAAAATGGGAGCATATAACGTTGGGTTGGGTTTTAAAAATAATTAAAATTATATGGATAGGAAAATTACATGACCCCAAAATCCATAAAATTCCAAAATCGCGCTAAGGATGCTGGGATGGTATACAAACATTGATTGGACGTTGGTTGTCTAGAGAGTAGATGTTCTTTGTGAACAGACCCGCAACACAAGCGAAATGACAAAAAGATATCACAACAGTGTGAACTGCAGAAATAAAACATTTTAACTCATGCATAATAAAACATACGCAAGATCCGTGGCAAATTATGAAACAGATACCAGGCGCAAAATTCTCACAATGAAAAGTTTTTTATTGAACTATTATTAGTATTGCGGTTAGGGTAATTTAACTTAATTCTAATAAATATCTGTCTGGGTTGAAATTAAGTTGCTCTTCGTTTGTTTTTTATAATCATCGTATCTTGGTAATTAAACTGATAGTCTTTCCGGACAGACAATCCGCTTCTTCACTGCCACACGCCAAATTAGATTTAATCATATAATAGTTTTGTTTGTGGAAACACCACGTAAATTTATTACTGCAATTTATTTACGTTGTGTTTCCACAAACAAAACTATTATATGTTTTATCGCCATGCAAACATACAAAGAACTTATTAGATTTAATCAATTAGCCTTTCTCGCGCCGTCATTTTTGAGATACTGTCTTTTCCAAATCTGACATTGTACGCAGTGAATAAATTATTTGTATAACTATAATTGTGAATATAATCATTATAAGTTAATTTACAATTAAATATTTGAAAAAATGTTTTCACATCGCTTAGAATTTTCATGTCGTTTTCAAAAACATACCCCAAAAATGGCGAATTTGGGCTTCGTGAGAAGGGCTAATTGAGTTAGTCCTGATTTGCATACACTGCGCGCGGTTCACTGGTTCACACAGCGCAGTTTATGTGAAGCAAATTCTGTCGATTGCATAAATCCGATTACGGTTTCGCAATTTCCTTACAGTACTAAATTTAAAAGTACCTGTTAGCAACGACTTTCTATGTTTAGTACGAGTTTATCGGAAGATAACCATTTTTGGTGAAACATTTTTGCTTCCTGGAAAAAAAATATTTCGAAGTCGAAAGGCAAGCTAAGTTAACAAGAGGAAACATTGGAATTTGATTCTGCCTATGAATGTTTTCAAAATATTTTGCCCAAGGCTATATTGTATTTTTTCTTAACTGCTAGGCTTATAGACTTACTAGATTGATTTCGGAATTTCAATGAAAGATTTTGCATGTTCACGAAGTTTCTCGCGTAAAAAAAGCAACGACAAGCTGTAAATTGATGAAAGTAAAAAGATGTCATTGGAAAAAAATGACAAAAAGCACACTGCATGAGGGGATGTCAGATTACAAGCATCTGACCATTGAAGATATCCGTATCTTGACTATTTATGCTTATCATTTTCAACCCATAACTTTGAAGAAATTTTCTAACAAGCTCAAAATCTAACACCCTTTTAAACACACCGTAGTTCCCCCGGAGAAGATTCACTCGGTATCGGCGGTTGCACCCACCCCCCCTCCCCCCTCCCATCGGCGGTATTCAGGAGTTGCATGATATGGCATCAACTATTTCGCTGACCTCAGAATGACATTTCGTCAAAACGTTTTTCTTCAAGATTGGCTTAGAAACCAATTTGGAGTAGGGTTAGGATTAAGGTTAGGGTTAGAGTTGGTGTTTGGAGTAGGGTTAGTGTTAGTAAAACCGTTGCTTTGTTACGTTTTGTCACTTTGAGGGCAGCGAAATAATCTCTTCCGCATGATATATCCATGATTAGGAAGATAGGTAAAAATAAACTACATCAATACTAAATCGCTCAACAACAACTTCAGTTTTCAGTTAAATTTACGATTTTCCGGCACAGACAAGCCATAATAAGGCTCATGACATCGCGTTGTCCAGGTATGGTTGTTGACTGATAGTGCCATGCACAACTCGTGTCTCTATAAATCATTTTATTGATACTATAGGTTCAGTAACAGTCATTCTTTATTGGTCTAGTTTAATTCAGGAGGAAACATAAGCAAGACTGATATTTTCTAATTAGCTCTATCAGTCTAAACTGGTTTTTTTTTACTAGACTTTATACTGGACTCTACAGTGTGTATCATAAAAAACTGAACTCTTTCAAATTCAAATTCGCTATAACGTATTGTAGTAATTTGACAGCTCTAATTGCTTTAAATTAATGGTTGGATAAGAACACTTGTACTCATCTTGTACTCATGGGACACTAAACTCAAAGAAATAAAATTAGAAAATTTAAAAGAAATAAAGTATTCCTTTTGTTCTTACCCAACCATTAATTCAAGGCAGTTAGAGCTGTCGACCCTGTAGATAGCTCTATTATTCTAAATCGCTCCCCTTAGAGGGCATTCATTATAATTGCTCTCGTGGTATTACAAGAGAAAACCTAAAGTAATTTTATACTGGATAGCTCTGTATGATTATACGTATATACCGTATGAGATCTGTCTAAGATGCTCTGCTAGAGGTCCGGAGTAATTAATCCCATGCCTTGTTGGTCTAGGCTTCAAGGGAAGTTCTCTAGTTAAAGTATCATACGATTGAAAAAAAAAACATGCCTGTTTTACTTCCATCAACCAATTTGTTGAAATTTTACATACAACTTTCAAGGGAATATAACCATGCACGTCATCAAATATTTAGTATTTATAGAAGAAATCCCACGCGGTCTGAGAAGCATCAAAAACTCATCAAGCCTGTCACCTTCCTTATAAAAAGCGTATTTTTGTAGTGTCGAACTCAAATCCATTAGTACCTGCTTTAGACGAATTGGAACTACGAAAATGGCTACATTTGCAGCAAAGTTAATTTTCTATTTTGCCATATTTATGGGCCTTTCTGTACGAGTGCAAGGGACTCCAGTGAACAAAGTTATCGTCTCTAGTTACCTCATGAAATTGTACAATATTTGGACGAATCAGAGCAACCAGACCACAAATCAAAAAAATATTGCCTTCAATGCGACATCCGTTCGTGCTATGTATTTCACATCGATTCAAAGTAAGATGTTTTACTGTGAAAGCAATCGTATTGATTGTACATGATTGATATGTTGCTCCATTTTGTCAATTACCTGATTAGAGAATAGAGGTGTACGTCGTATACAGTGGTTAATAGCGAACTTAAGATCTACGACGCGGGCGGCTCAACGACGCGCTTGCGAAAGAAATTGTCATGCCAGACAAAAACTGTGAATAATTTGTGGTCCCAGGGATATTCCCAACGGCTTTGCCATTCTCAGCACAACGTTAAACTAAGCATTATCACGTCTTTCATGCAACGTGAAAGCTTATTCCGCCCCAAGAGGTATACTCAAAGTCGAAATTACAGCAAACATTGCATCGCTTTAGTCGAACTTAGCAGTTTGTAATGTTATTTGAAAAAGCTTCAAACATTTATTACAGCAATAAAATTGCTTAGCACTCATTCGATCAGCTTGAGCTGAAATTCAGACCGCGTTGTTGAGCCGGCCGCGTCGTAGATCTTCAGCTCTCTAATGTATGTATCTTTTACCTCAGTTCCATTCCTATACTGACATGCAATTTCGCTTCAGTTGTATACGAGACATGAGAAGAGTATGGGTAGGTCGACTCTATACCAATTAGAGCAGGCTTTCGTCTGGTAACAAAACATGGGTTAACAGGGATACTAGTTGAAAAATACCGACAAGGAGAACTTCGATGTTTCGAGCGACGGCCCTTTGTTGGGAAGGTTTCTGGTTTCCAACTGGAGTTGGCGATCTTAGCGATGGTTTCAGGCAAGGATGACCCTTACTGGACCTCAGAAATGGTTTATAAACTGAGATAGCTTCGGTTAAACTGAGTTCTCTTTGATACTGCACCAGTAAGGAATGGTCTGAATAGTTTAGAACTGCTAGAATTATCGAGTATAAATAAAATTAGTTTAGTTAAGGTTTCCCATGCAGTCAAAATCAAATTGAATCAACTGGTAATGGTTTCAGTCTTTTCATTTTGGCTTTAGGCTTAGCTTTCGGCATATGGAGCTGATAGAGCTATGGTTCTAAGTTTTGAAGGATTTGTAAGTAATGTTTGATGGAACTGAGTCACTGTTAAACACGGAGACAGTTCTCTCAAATATTTCTTACAAATCCTTCAAAACTTAGAATTTACCTATGCAAAATTCCTACTGTGATCACAGAAACTTTGATAGTGTATTGTGAACGAGGTTATGAACGATCGTCCCGCTAATTTATCTTCTACATTTTCCCAGAAATGAGCAATACCTCGACGAAGCTGACAATAGATACACAAGGCGGGAAGAAGAAAATGATTGTAAAGAGAGATGAACTTCACCTCTATATCATAAAACCCAGCAACTCTTCACAAGTCCAAACCTTCACCGTCGAAATTAAAGATAGTCAGACCAACAGTTTGATGGCATCTCAAACAATAACACTTCAAAGCACAGCCTGGTATACCATACCAATGAATGGTAAAATACAAAACTGGTTCAACAGCGTGCAATCAAAAACGAGCCTGAATGTCCAGTTTAAGAATGTAATTGCAAATCAGGGGTTCCCAAACATTGGAACAAGTTTATTGGAACAGCCTTACTTGATTGTCTACATGGATTTAAAATAAAGATGAAGGATGTTTTATTTTGAAGTTTTTGTATTTTATATAAACATTAATTTGCCAGTGTAAAGTTGTAATGTAGAAACTTTGAACAATCGCACGGTAAAGAATGGTTAGCACTTTTTTCCATCCAGCAAACCGCCCTATCGATTTTGTAACGTCGTTTCTTTTTGGATTTTTTTATTAATTCGGTTAGGGTTGAGGTTAGGGTAGGGGTAGGGTTTGGGTTAGTTACATAGCCATTTAACACCTCTTCTATCTTGCGAAAATGACGTCAGGTCAGTTTGCTGGATGGAAAATAGTGCCAACCGTAAAGAATTGAAGCTAGTATATAGTGGCATTGACGAAGTCTCGGACATAACGAGACGAAAGCTCAGCATAATAATTATACATGCATGATGTACCAACAAGTTTTGTTAAATTGAGAAAATTACTATATATTCAAAGAACACATTTAGGGCGTTGATTTTGTGGCTGATTGTGAAGGTAATTTTTGGTTTGATTAATTTTGATGAAATAAATAATTTGTTGAAATTACAGTGTTGTTTTATGATATTTATTTAGTTATCTTTCTCAACTCATTCATCATGGGATGAGCAAAATACAAAGGAAACCATCAACCACAGTAATAAACGCCCATAAATCTACTCAACTAATTCCTTGAATTTTTCTCTTGAAATACAAGTCTGTTTGAGAAGAGCCGATATAAATAACAAACCGAAAGCTGTTTATTATACCGCCATATAAAACACCGCAAAGCCAAAGACCTTTTGGTATGTGAAAAAAAACTGCGCCTCGTTATTCAACACAGCTTTCGGTATTACGCCGGTAACAAATGCTTTCTTGTTTAATTTATATTTTACCTGATGGTCAAGGACAAGGTCAAGATTTTGGTGAATTACTGAAAGTAACACTTCAAACTATGTTAAAAAAAAAGCAACGCTTTTCAACACTTTTTGCTGTTTTAAACCCTCTAGAACATTCCAAGAATCGATTTACTTGCGGCACCGGCGGCTATTTGCCGTTGTCCCGCTTTTTGGCGACTCTGTCCTCGTAATGACTATCTATGGTAATGACACACAGAAGGTCGACTCAGCCAAAAAAGCATAACCGCTGCGCCATGGTTCCAGCAAGTGCGCTTATGAGAGGCATTCACCCCCCTGGACATTCGCCATTTTCAATATTATCAAAGGGGATGCCTCTCAAAAGCACAGCCAATGAGAGCACGATTTTATATTCGGGACTTGAATTTGCCCCCCATTAGCCGCGTTCCCAGTTTTTAAACTCGATGCCTCCTCTAGTGTTATTTACAATCTCTATGCTTTAGGACTATGTTGTCAGCATTTTGATGACGAATTACGGTTACGCCAAAATCATAGGAAATACCAAGAAGTCGATCTTCTGTTTGTCTCTAATCTGTGATGCCATGGATAATAAAATAAATTTATTATCCATGGCGATACTAACGGAAAATACATGAGGAAAGACAAAGGAAATCACTACCGTGTCGGTGGTTTTATATGTGATAAAAAATGTGCCATTTACATAAACTTTAACTTCGATTTTCTCGGCTTAGACAACTTTTTTTTTAAAGTTACTTCGAGGGAAGAGCCTGGGAACGAGGTTGTGAACTCATAAGATTGGTTGTTTTTTAAGTCATTGAAAACACCCGCAGTTCGTGGTTTATCAGATGTAAAACACTCGTACTGCGCACTCGTTTTTTATATCTGATAAAACACCCCTGCTCGTGTTTTAAACAGTACTTCATCAACCAAAATACAAAAATAAATTCACTCAACACTGCATATACATTATCGGATGGTTTATTTTAATTTACATATTATATAGTTTAATATAAAAAACGTCACGTTTGAATGTGATGAGAGGTGGCAGTCACGCATGTTTCGGGGACATTTCAAGCTCTAGATTATCAAAATAAAACCTTGATGAGTGCTCCAACTTGTTGGGAAAGCATTAAGAACAGCGAACTAAAGTAGCGTGACAGTCAACTCTCATGCACGTTCATCCTCGTGTCATTCACGCATTAATTTACGTCCTTTCATTAATGTTTGTTCTTATGTGCAGGCGATCTAAAAAGAAATTGAAAAAAAGTTTGACTTCCCTTCGTTGTTCTGAGGGGGTAAATAAAGAGCTTAAGATGTGGTAAATCTAGTACACGGATGTGCCCAAAAACACGAATAAAAAATATGGATTTTTTGTCAACAAAGAAGGATAGAGGTGAAAAACAAATTTAAACTGATAACAAATCCAAAAGAAAAGCATAAGTAACTGTCTTTTTGTCACGCCCGCGTACTAGATTCAGCTCATCTTAAGTTCGCTATAAATACACGCACAAGGGCATTCTACAGTGGCGTTGGTAAAACAGTGGGAAGACCCTTACTTAATTTGTAAGTGAAATATAGCTTTGAACTTATAGAACGATCCAGTATAAATAAAGTTACTTTACTTAAAGTTAATTGTATTATACTAAGTGCTATTCGCTATCAGAGGTGTCTAGACAATCTTATTATAAAGATCAATGCCCAGCATAATTTGCGTAAGAGTTTATAAATAAATCTTTTTCAAAATTTAATTTTGTGATGGCCCTTTTACACACATTATACTGGCATTGATATTTATAATAAGATTACGATTCCTGCATGGTCCATCATCCCTCGTGTCTAGACACGCCAAACAGGAAACCACGCTTTGTTAGCACCTTCCGAGAAGTTCTTAAAGATCTGCGGAGGTGGCTAGACCTTGATTGGATTATACGTTCACACATGCACAGAATTTTCAATTTCAGGTAAACGTGCCAAATTTTGACTGTGCCAAACTCTGAATGACACAAACTTTCAGTTGGAGCATCATCATATATTCACTATGAATTTAACTGGGACCATTGACTTGCACAGTGTGAACAGATGGAACTACATTGATACTGGATAACTGTATCAGTTATGAACTACTCCCCGTATAGGTGCAGTAAAAGTCAACTCTTACTATACTTCAGTGTTGCAGAGATGGAAACCAGACTACCTAGAGAAAATCTATGGTATCTGGGGCATGCAAACTGAAGCATTCTGCTCACATGTGACTGGGATGAAATTATAGTCAGACAAAATCTCGAACGGTTAGTGTCAGTATAGGTAGAGACGAGAACAGACAGCTATGGTGTGAAGGATGTACTACTTCCTCAAAAATAATATAAACAGAAGCTCAACGAAGGGCCTTCGCTCGAAATGTCGACGTTCTGCTTATACTTTTCCGGTGGTTGCATGTACACCCTTGACACTGCAGCTGTCTATAACCAGACATGTGCATCTGTATTCCAGGAATGAAACTTGGTGTCAAAAGTAAAAGATACATGCACTAATCACTATGCTACAAACATGCTTATTGATATTAGTGCTAGCTATTGTCACAGCAGAAATTGAAATAAACAAATAAAAAATATCACCTTCATTTGCGCTTGGATTTTTTGTGCTCCTTCTTACCCTGTCTCCTCTTCTTCATTTCAGGACTGGAACTTCGGGAACTTGGGGGACTTTGTGATCTATCCCTTGGTGGCGATCTATCCCTTTCTTTCGGCTTCTCCTTAGCCTTTCCTTTTCGTTTCTTGGACTTTTTCTTCTTTCTAGTCTTACTGCTGTCCGAACTCTCACTGCCTTAAAAATAAAGGAAACATCAAATGTTATTTCACAAACTATTAAAAGACAACGAGAAACAACAACAAAGGTTGCAATATGGTACACATTTATAGAAACATGCCAAAATTTTCCAATAAACAGTATTAAAGACATTTGTTTATGTGTTCTGAAGGAGAGGGGGGCTCAACAAAATTTCTTGTCCTAAAGGAGGAGGGGCGTTTTAGGGAATGGGGTTACTTCACACCAGAGAGATGTACCTTTTTTGTCTTCGCGATCACTTTCCGAAGACTTACGATCAGACGAACTGGAACTTTGTTTCCTATGCTTCTTTTTCTTACTTCGGTTTTCGTCCGATTTTTCTTTTTTCCGACTTTCTCGTTTTTGGTCACTCTCCACCGACTGACTCCGATCTCGGTGTTTTTTCTTCGATTTTCGTTCGGGTTCCAGGGACTCTTCTGTAGAACTGCGATGTTTTTCTCGTTTCTCTTTTCGCTTACGACTTTCTTTTTTCGAGAACCTATCCCTACTACTACTAGACCTGTCACGACTATCCACCGATCTGTCACGACTACGCGCCAATCTATCCCGCTTTCCAGATAATTCTTCCTTCACCGGCGCTTCATCATCGCTATATTTCGACTTGTCCCGACTTCTTCCCAATTGGTCCCGACTCTCTCCCGATTGGCTCCGACCTTCTTCCAATCTGTCCCGCTTTCGAGACGATTCTTCCTTCACTGGCGCTTCATCATCGCTATATTTAGACTTGTCGCGACTTCTTGCCGATTGGTCCCGGCTTTCTCCTGATTGCTCCCGACCTTCTTCCAATCTGTCTCGTTTTCGTGACGATTCTTCCTTCACAGGCATTTCATCATCGCTATATTTAGATCTGGCCCGACTCTCTCCCGATTTCTCTCGCTTACTTGACGATTTCTTCGGACTTCGTGACCGTTCTTTCTGAGCTGACGCTTCTTCCCGACTATCGGGCGACAAATCTCGATCACGAGGAGATTTATGAGAAGACTTGTATTTCCCCCGGCTAGACAATAGTTCCTCGCTATAAGGCGACTCCTCCAGGTTGCGAGCAGACCTGTCCCGTTTACGAGACGACTTGCTCTCCTTATTCTTACTGTCATACGATGGTTCCCGACTTTCAGGCGACCTTTCTCGACTGTCTGGCAGCCGACCTTTAGCCGACTTTTGTTTTCTCTTCGACGATTTCTCGTCTTCAGATGGAGATTGTTCTAGAGCTTGGGGCGCCTTCTCTCGTTTATGACCCGATCTCTCTTTACTATCATAAGATGGTGCCTGACTATCAGGTGAGACATCCCTGCTATGTGGCAACATATCCCGACTTTTATCCGACTTATGTTTTTTCTTAGACTTCTTATCTTCATTAGATGGCGATTGTTCCCGACTTTGTGGCGACCTTTCTCGAATTTTACCAACCTTGTGTTTCTTCCTAGAAGACTTACCCCCATCATCTGGCGACGGTTCCCGACTTTCAGGCGATCGTTCCCGACTATAAGATGACCTACTTCGTTTTTTGCCCGACTTATCCCTTTTATGAGAAGACTTACTCTTACTACGTGAACTTTTTTCTCGACTATTGGGCGAACTATCCCGACTATGAGGCGATTTATCCCGATCATGGTGCGACCTATCCCGATCATCTAACGATCGATCTTCACCATTGGGCGACCTATCCCGATCACGAAACGACTTATCACGACTATGGGGCGACTTATCCCGACTTTTAGACCTATCCTGTTTATGAGAAGTTTTATTCTGACTATCGTACGATGGTTCTCGACTATGAGACGACTTTTTCTTCCGACGA